GCGGTAAAGCAGTGCTCGGGGGGGGGGGGGGGCTACGCACTCCAGCGGATCAAAGCAAGTTCAATATAACGCGGTTTCACCTATAACATGGTAAGATTTTTTGGGTCCCAAGGACAGTTTATATCGGGGTAGAGGTGTAATTTGAAAACTAATAACTTGCTGGTCAATATCATGGCAAAATATATGTAGTAATATTATATGTAGAGTTCTGAACATAAACTGAAATCAAGACTGAAGTGTATTTGCCAGACAAGCCTGGGGCGTGGGTAAACCTGTTTCTCAAAGATAAAGGGTAAGTTGATGCCTCAACCAGGTGTCATAAAAACTGATGGGCCATCACCTCTCTTTTGCAAAGAAAGGGGACAGGATCAAACAAATCTGATTTTGGCAATCAACAGCATGAACTCTCCTCCCCTCCCCCTGCCAAAAGACTCCTTGCTCTGAGCTGGAAAGAACTTGATCTAGGGGTCCCTCTCAGGGAACTGCATTTCAAAGGGTGACTGAACTATAAAAGCAAGGGCCAAAAACACCACAAGTTCTCTCTCCCTGTCCATCTCTGTTTTCCACCTAAGAAGACAAAGGAATCCAGCTTTTTGACTTTGGGAAGGATCCTGACTTGATGATAGGTTAGTAATGCAGCTGAAAGCATATGGTAAGAATTTTACCTTAAACTAATCTTAATTTGTAAAGTTTTAGTACTAGGAAGCATTTTATCTTTATTTTTCTTGTAACCATTTCTGACTTTAATGCCCTAATTCTTATACTCATTTAAAACCTATCACTTTGTAATTTTTGTTCTTTACTCAGAATTAGTCCAATGTTGCAAAGTGTGTGGGTAACTCCATTTAAGGTGCCAAGTTGCTGTATATTGTTCCCTGACAGGGACAACGGACCTTTGTTACCTAAACTGGCCATGAGAGGGCTGCACAGTGTAGTACAGAACACACACTTTGGGGAGGGGGGCGGAATTCCAGGACGGGGGATGTGTTGAAGTCACCCTGCATGTGGAACTAAGATTGGTGGAAGCCAGAGTGTGGCTTACATGCTGAAAGGCTGCTTGTGAGTGGTCCATGTTGGAGCTACAGCATCAAGGCATTGTGAGGCACCCCAGTTACACGGCATGGATGACACAGCCCCTCACTGGTCTAGATTGGACCCCAAAGAGTCAAAGGTAGGTGTATCTGCATTTTCCAGATGGAGGAAATGAAGGTACAGAGAAGTTGAGTAGTCAGATTTTCAGAAGTGCTAAACACCCACAACTTCCACTGAAGTGCACAGGAGCGGCAAGTTCTAAGCATCTCTAAAAACAGCCCATAAATGATGTGCAAGATACAGTGAGTCAAACCACAGATAAAAACCATTTTCTCTTGCCTCTCCATTCCACAAAACCACACTGTCCACATACTTCTAAATCCTATTTTTGACAATCACCTCAAAGAAGGAAGTTCAGCCAACTGATGTATATCAATAATTTTCTGTTAGGAGCTGGTAAAAAGGAAAGCCATAACAGACTAACACTCAGCTCTTTGGCCCTGCTCCTTGCCAGTTGTGATGCTCCACCATCTCAAAATAATGGAAAAAGCAGGAGTTACAACAGTTAGAAGTTTTTAAAATACATCAATAACATAAAAACTCAATTGAATGGTAAATATATATATGCTTCAAAGCATATGCCAGATTATAATTAACAGTGGGCAGGGAGAAACTTTCTCTCACTGTGTGCAGGTTATTTCATAACTGCCTATTTCAGCATTTCTTACACATAATTTTGTGTCTCCCTCCAGCATGTAATTGCCTTTATAACACAAACTCCCCTCCACCCCAACTTTGTCCCTGTATAGTTCAAGTGGATTGATGGAAGGGCTTTTAGGTACCCCTTATCAGCCTGCATTGAATCATTCAGCACTGGCATAAACTGCAAGCAAGCAGGATTTGGCCAAATGTTTGTGTTTTTTTATAAAGCTCTCATTCCAGTACTTCCACTACTTACTATAATTATAACAAAAAATGAAATGGTGGCAAGAGGGGTAAAGGGCTAACACAAATTCTGAAACTTATTTCTTTGTGGGCAAAATTCCTCATGCCCACAGCCAAACACAATTTTCTTAAAAAACAGTGTCATCTTTTAAAAAGGCCTTTTATTAAGTAAAAGCAAATGAAATTTCTTTCGATTAGATTTCAAATTTTATTCAAAAGGCCAAACTTTAGGGATTCCACAGGTACATGTGGCTAGAGCTCTGGATAAGGAATATTCTGTTTAGATCAATCAAGCCAGGTAGAGCTCAATACTTCCAAGAACTCTCTGTTGATCCTCTTGAAGGCTCAGGCTCTAAATGTGGTGGGTAATTATAGCAAAATGTTTGGGTAATCTTTGCACATTTACTCCTTACTACGTGTAAATATGGGAAACACACAAGGAGCAGAGGGAAACGTTTGTCTTTACCTGACCTCTTATGCTTTAGGCCGGCCGGCCAGCTTCCCCCCCTTTTGTGTCTCCAATCTGCATTTGGCAAGAGCAGGACGAATATAGCTGTTTATATTTTATTACATTTGCTTCCTTGCAGTGATGGCACTGGGACAGTCACTATATCAACTCCCCAGCCGGCAGCTACTTTTGCTTTCTGAGCGAGATTATGTAGGCGTGAGGCTGGATCACAGGGTATAAACCCGTGACCCGGCCCAGGACCGGAGGGCTCAGAGAGGCGCCCTTCCACTAGGGGAACAAGCCCCTGGAATGGCCCCTCTCTCTGCACCACCCCCCGGCCCGCCCGCATCATTTACCCCAGGCTTTGCCCCTTCCCTCCCTGCCGGCTCCCTGAGCAGCCCGAGGAGGCCTGAGGGGCGGGGCGAGGCGAGGCGAAGCTCAGCTGCTCCCGGGCATGCTCAGTGCTGCGAGGGAGCGGCGCGGCCCCTAGGCGGGGCGGGCTGGAAGGCGGAGGCTGTGCAGCGCGAGCTGCAGCAGCTGGGATCAGGGATGGCTCCGTGGGGATCGGCGGTGGCAGCCGAGGTCTCCCCGGCTCCCCCGATGCGGGTCGCGGCGGTCGCCCAGGGGAACCACTCCGACCTCGGTGGGTGACTCCGTTGTTTCCTTGCGCCGCGTAGGAGTTTCGTTGGGCCGGGACTGGAGCCGCCGCCCCCGAGCTGCCTCCGGAGCACCCGCTTCCCGACCCCTGACTCTCCCCCGCCCGCCGCAGGGCCCCTCACCGCGCTTGCTTTCGCCTCCCCCGGCTGCGGCCCCCCTGAGCTGCACGCCTGAATCCCGCCGAGCACCCCGGTGTGTGTGGCCCCGGGGGTCCGTTCCGCTTGTCCCCGGCGCCCTTCCCCTTGAGCGGGTGGGCATCCCCCGCGGGCTGCCCCAGAGCCTCGCTCAGTCCCGTCCTAGCCCAGCGATCTCCCGGGCCCCTCCTGGTTACTTCCCCCGGCTCCCCGCCCCACCCCGGCGTCCCCAAGCGCAGCGCCCTCCTCTACCCCTCTGCCTCTACCTTGCTTCCTCTTCCCTCTTACTGCGCTCCGACTTCCTCGGGGGCGGCTCACTCGCCACTACCTGCCTTGCCTGGGCACACCCTGGGGGAACAGAGGTAGCCGGAGCTCTGGGGGTGACCCGGGTCCTTCCGGGTAGCTAGCCCAGTGCAGCCGCTTGTTACTGGGAGGCGGTGTGAGGAGGCGCTGCCTCCGGAGTCTCCTAATCTCTGCCCGAGGTGAGAGCGGCAGGCTGGGGCCACAGACCCTTTTTGAGGAGTTGAGTTGTATTATGTAGTCTCCGAGGTGGAAGCGAAGAAGCAGAGCTCGGTCTTGGTATTTCCTCCACGAGCAGTTGTTCTTTCTCTAGGCGGCCTTACTTTTCTGATAGTTGGAAGAGCTCCCTCCTCTCGCCCTCGGGCCCCCCGCGCAAATGAGAGTTCAACTTGGTACAGCTTCTTGTGTAATATCCCATAACTAGAGGCACAGCTGAGGGCAGTGAGATCCCTGTAATGTTTCAAAGCTGTAGCAAGAAAGTTCTTGGCTTTTCAAGTTCACCTCATGGTGCAAGTTGCCCAATTTTTGCTAAAACAAACCTCTAAAATATTGGTTTCGTGGCTTGTTTTTTGCATTTCTTATATGAATTTGGCATGTCTGCGTTAAACTTGGGTCCAAAATTAAGTCAGTTACATACGTTCCAGGTAGATGACTTCTCTTCAAAGGCTTCTTGTTGCTGCTTGAGGAAGATAAAGTGGTCCCTGAAACAGATGATAATAGCATCCCTTCAAATAGATGCAAACTTAAATTTGGTTCAAAGTTTAAACTTTAGTAATTGAATTTTTATAATTCATGAGAACCCTGTAGATAATTCACATTACAAAGAAATTTCAATGAAAACTGTTGTTTTTAAACCAACATTCCTCTACATGGATTTTAACCCAAACATTGCAGTACTAATAAACTAAAAGTGGAAACTGACTTCATTGCTTTTTATTGTCCAAGATAAGAAATGCAGAAAGTAATTGGAGCATAATTAGTGACATGTAAATTTGGTTTTAAAAAATTCATTAATTTTTAAGGTCGTGTCCAGAATTCTAGGTAAAGATACTTGTTTATAGTGTGACTTTTAAATTAACTATCTTTTTGAATAGTCTTGTGGAATGGAGTTGGTAAATCCAAAGGGTTGGCTTGTTTAATTTGAAATTTTGAGTTTACTAGGGAAGGGTTAACCTAAGCAGACACCTGGGTATGATATTAAGTATTGCTCCAAGGCTTTTTACACTGTGATTTTGCAGATCTATCATTCCCAAATGGTGCAGCTGGGCTGGGGAATATAGTGGTAAAAACAGCCTAGCTTTAACTGTACTATGGCTTCTGCTGGAGGAGCTGCACCTAAAGGTATGTCTACACCAGGGGTCATCAGCCTTTCAGAAATGTGTGCCAAGTCTTCATTTATTTGTGGTAATTTAAGGTTTCGCGTGCCAGTAATACATTTTACATTTACGGTGGCCGGCGGATGGAACCCCAGACTAGCAGCTGGGAGCCCAGGCCAGCAGCAGCCTGCCAGAGTAATAAATCAGCTTGCGTGCCGCAGGTTGCTGACCCCTGGTCTACACTGTAGTTGGGAGCAAACCTCCCAGCCCAGGTAAATCAACTCACACTAGTGGGGCTCAAGTTAGCATGCAAAAAATAACAATATGGATGTGGTGGTTCAGCTTCTCACGCATGGGCGGTGCGTGAACCGCCAGTTGGGGGAGGCTAGCCCCCATCCCCCCGCTTCCGCGTCACGCGCCCTCGCCCCCAACGGAGCCCAGAGCCACTCCTACCACAGCCGCAGGCCCCTGTCTTAGGCTAGTGCCCCTAGCCTCCCTTGGAGCGCTGGGAGGGTAGGTGGCGGGGCCCCAGCCACGGAGTGTTGGGAAGGCAGGCAGCCCAGCCCCATCCTGGAGCTGTGCTGAGTGGAAGCAGGAGGGGGAGCCTGGGGGCAGGGCCACGCCTGGCTGTTTGGGGATGATACCCGCCGCCTATGCTCTCAAGCCTTGGTGGGCAGTTGGGCCTGACTCAAATTTAGTTCTGTTGAGTTTGAAGACAGTTACGCTGGTGAATTCTTGGGGTGGCATATAACAAAATCAGCCCCATCTACCTGAGGCTCGCTCCCAGCTGCGGTGTAGATGAACCCTGTGGATCTGAAAGATCATAGCGTAGACAAAGCCTTGGAGCACACACTAACTTTTAGCGTCATATCCAAGTGTTGGCAAAGTTGACTCTTATCTGTCAATCCCAAATTTTCATTAAAACAGGCTCATCTTCTGGAGTTACTAACTTGTATTGACTCAGGTCTTCTGCCAAGGGAACTAATTATTTTTTTCTGATGTGTGTGGGGGCAGGAGGTTGTAAGAAAAGGAGGGAATTCCCTCCCCCCCCCCAAACATAGCCTTTCTTCTCTCCGTTTTCATGTTTATGTAAAATACTACTGAGTAAGACTTACATTAACCTTTGTCACATCTCTACGTTGGTATATGCAATACAGGTTTGTGCATGCTATAGTTGCTGTGCAGTTTATGTGCTATAGCTTCATGGAGAGAAACTGGCATTTATACAGATTTGTTTAATTAGCCAGAAGACTGGAATTGTGAGCATGTACAGACATTTAATGTATGTACAGTAAATGTCTATTCAGGTTTAGTTCTGTTGAGCTCGAATATAATTATGCCGGTGAATTTTTGGAGTGGCGTACCTGAGTGGGAGGAGAGTTTAGTAACATATTCTTTTTAAAAATCAGTGCCAAGTATCATCAGATGGGCAGGACCCTGTTTCTGTAAACTGGTCTTGTAAAACATTGGGACAGGTAACTCACAAGAGATTGTGGAAGTCAGACTTACTTCCTTTCTGGGTTTATGATGAAATTCTTCCCTTCCCCTTTTCTAAAAAGACAGCTGCTCAGCTACACTTCTTCACATCTGTGACCCCCTGGATGTCAATCTTGGGGAAGTGTGCAGAGAATTACCACTATGCTTAAATTTCAGTTTTCAGTTGAGTATCAGAAATGATAGTGACAACTATCTTCTATAGTTAAGGCCGTACCAAAGTCACGGTCCATTTTGGACAATTTCACAGTCACAGGATTTTTAAAATAGTCAATTTCATGGTTTCAAATGTTTACATCTGAAATTTCAGGGTATTGTAACCATGGGGGTCCCAACCCAAAAGGGGGTCATGGGAAAGGCTACTGTAGGGGGGGTCATGGGATCGCTACCTTTACTTCTGCACTGCTGCTGGCGGGGGCGCTGCCTTCAGAGCTGGGCAACTGGAGAACAGCGGCTGCTGGCTGGGCTCCAAGTTCTAAAGCCAGCAGCACGAAGTGAGGATTGCAAGGTATGGGGAGCGGGTTACCCTACGTTTGGGTTTTCCAGGCAGCCTCTCCTCCTGGATTGGGATGAGGGGTGCTGACAGCTGGGGCTGCAGCCTCTCCGCCTGGGTTGTTGTCTGTCCCAGCCAGCTACCATGGAGCTTCCTACAGCTGGGGGAGGTTCCCAGACGTGGGTCTGACCCAGCTCCCGGAGTGGCTCCTGCAAGGGAAAAGGAAGTCCTGTCCCTCCCCAGTCTGGGCTGGGATTAGCAGCTGGAGCCTGGCCCAAAGTAGGAGCCCATGGCTAGGGTGCCCCCAGCCCTGCCCCTCCCCTACAATAGCCAGATTTCATGGTCCATGATGATCATGAATTTGGTAGGGCCCTATCTATAGTGTAAGGGCTGGTCTACACTGAAAACTAAAGTTGGCATAGCTACACATGTCAGGGGTGTGAAAAATTCACGCCTCCTGAGAGATAGCTATGCTAATGTAACCCCCTGTGTGGACAGTGCTAGGTTCGTGGTGGAGGTAGTTTAACTGCAGTGAGGGGAGAACCCCTCCTGTTGCTGTAATGAGTGTCTACACTGAACTGCTGCAGCTGTGCCACTGTAGCATTTTAAATGTAGACATACCCTAAAACAGATTGTTGAAACACAGGGCTTGTCTATGTACAGAAGCTGTGCTGGTTTAACTAAAATAGGTTTTTAAACTGATTTTAATTAAGCCTGTGCAAATCCCTCTGTGGTGACACAATGATTTAAAATTGTTTGCCACCTTAGCTTGTATCTGTAACTTTACCATTGAAAGCTTGAGTGATATGAATTGGTTTTAAATCTTCAGTGTGTCTAAAGAGGGTTTTGGACAAGTTTTGCTAAATCAGTTTAAAATACCACCTTTTGTTAATCCAGTACAGTTTTGCATGTAGACTTTGTGTAAACTGGTGTTCAAGAAAAAAGCTCAGACTAAATTACAAAAATTGTGAATAATTAGTCCCTGTCCCAAAACGCTTACAACTGAGCTTTTTGTTTGTTTGTACAGGACCTAGTGCAAGGGGGTCCTGGTCAATGAATGGGGCTTCTAGCTGCTGCTACAATAGAAATGATAGTTAAATAACAACCTGGGTTCTTCCTGATTCTTGTCCTCAAGTTTCATTTTCAACCACGTGAGTCAATGAATTAAGTTTTTGGTACCCTTTCACTCTTTTTTACACACACTGTTTTTTCCTTACTCGGAGGGGAGAAGCTCCTTCAAGTGATTGCT